ACACTGTTAAAAATTTTCGGGGAGATTTTACAGGTAAAGTCTGGGTATACTAGACGCCAATATAAAGTCTGGTAAAATTACCAGTGTTTGTAAAATTACAGAACACTTGTAAAAATAAATACCGAAACTGCTTGTAAAAATATTTCACATTTTACCTGGAAAATATTTACAGATTTGTTCTTGAAAATTTTTACCATACAACAGCTTGTAAAATTCCATGTGTTGGGAAAATATTTGTTGATGTGGTCTTGTAAATATTTACCATGCAATGACTTGTAAAATAACATGTTGTGGCTAAATATTTGCAACAAGATCCGGTAAACTCTTTGCATTACATGATATGGTAATAATTGTGCAAGTTTATGTAAATTAAGAAACCAAAATAATCTTGAAGACCACAGGTCTGTGTATTCTTTTCACAGAATGTATAGTGAAATATATTTCTACTTTTAGTGGTATTTGTGCAGAGTGCATGCGGCTTATTAAGAAAAATTCTCTTATTAATTTCAATTTTTGTTTTTATTACTTTTGGTCAAAACCAGTGACAAGGAAATAAATAGTATCAGATCATAACCATTTCAACAGTCAGTAAAATCCTGTAACTAACAGAAATGATTCACTTAAATATCTATGAGATTAAGTACTTTCATGGTAGCTATTTCAAGTCAACAGAGGCCTAACCTAAGAGAGTATGAGGCTCCTGCTGATAGCCCCTCACTTCCACTCATGTTTGAGTTACAGATGTTTACGGATGCTTCATGGAGAAACTACTGAGAATCATAGAAGACACGTCCTGAAATCAAAGTAAATAATGTTCAGGCTCCATGCGACAAAGTACAATCCAAGGTGGATCCACCTTGCTACAATCATAGCCGATGAAGCGGGGTTACTAAAAGGGCAATCATACCTTTAACAGAGTTGAAGTCGAATACATCCCCAGTGTTTCCATTTGCATTGGATTTCAACCGACAAAGGCCCCTGTAACAAACAGGAATTGGAAAATATCTAGGAGACGTCAAGTACTTGCATAGTATCTATTACAATTTCAACATAAGCTTACCTCACAAGAGAGCAAGCCTTAAAGTTGCACTTACTCGTGTTCATGTTTGTTGAGTCACAGACGCTAAGAGGAAAATCAGATGTGTCCTGTGAAAGAGGCAAATGTTGGTTAGGTTATTTAGATGGCCGAAGGAACAAACTACTCATGAAGTGGATATAGCGCATGAAGTAATACCTACCAGAATCATAACATACTACATTATGTCCTTCCACTAAGATTGGTGTGTTCAATGTAACACCATGTAAATCAAACACTACTATATCTGAAACCAAAACATATAGTTAAAAGACGTAACATAAAATTATCACTTCACTCACTCAACCACAGAGTTTACTGCTGCTCACCTGATCAAAACACTGAATTAGGCTTGGTATCATAACCTACACATGACATCCTCGGTCCTAGAAACAAAGATAAGGGATAAGGGAATACGACTTATATTATGTGTCAATATTTTAACGCCAAATGAGTCAACAAGATTCAACCCAATGCAATTTCTCTGGGTAAGATTTGCCTAGATTCTGTTCTTACTGAGGTTATGGTCCAGGTTAGGTTTCTCCAGCTCTTAATTTCTTGTCCAGGTGGTCACGGCTAGCGACTTCGGAACGTACAGCAGTGCACTCTTCTTGTTGGTATGTCTCTCGACGGCACTCTTCTTACCATGGATCAATGTTTCTGGAACTATCTTTGGTTGAACTGCGACAAAATAACTTGGTGAGCCTGCGCTCTCACGTATCGGTGTCGGCGTCGGCTGCTTGGCGTCTGCCGTCTGCGCCTTGCGGAGCTGCGGAGCGACGACGACAGCTGACGCTCTCAAACACACTTTCAACTGTTTCCCTCCCCCAAAACTCCTAACCTTTTCATGGCGAATACAAATTCGTTTTATAGTTTCCAAATTGACGGAGAAGGCTAAAAAACAAGTTTCCTCAAGAGATATTTCACATGTTTGTTTACCCTACCAAGACAGGAGGGGACATACAGTGGCCTATTGTCGTACAGTGGGCCTCTGTACAAGAAGTTGTATCTTTTGCTTTTCTACTGAGTCCACATTTAAACAATAAGTCCTCTTCAGTGTTTATTATCTAGTTGAAAGTAGAAAGGGAAAAGTAGCATATTAAGTTTTTGCCGTTATAGTTTAATGAGTTTGAGGGGGAGGGAAACTGGTGTTAACATCAAACTGTTTCATAGCTTTAAAAATCAACTTCACTTTGTCTACACTAATGAACAATAATCTCACTTGGTGTTCCATGTTTTTCTTTTTTGTATTCCTCCCACATTTGTCTTTCATTGCATCTATCTATGTTTCAGGTAAATATTGCAAGGTACTTGTTTGTCAGGTATGTTGTCCTGAAACCGAAGTTGTTTTTACATGCCATACTGACTTTACATATTGGACTTATGATGGATCAAGATTAATGGTGAAAGTTGAGGTATGTACAATACAGTATGAAGTTTCTCTCTGGTAGAATTATGTGCTCATTGTAATGGTTCTTTGAAGTGACCGAATCTTTTATATTTTTCAGGTGGTTATGTCGAGTTTGAGGTATTCATGGAGCATCATGTCTTGTGAAGTTATTTAGAGAGATAAATTTATAATAATTTGGAAGATCATTGCATTGACTTCGTCCAATGCAAATTTATGTCATTAAGGTACAGTGCCTGAACATTCTGACTTGTCTATTTTCTTCCGAGATGTTATCTGGTGCGAGAGAGGTGCAAATAGAAATCTCAAACCTTTAGAAAGCGGAAAGAGGGCAGGTGGTGAGTGCCATGCGGAAGGTTCAATAAAATTGCTTCTAGTCTTCAAATGTTTATAAGGTTTGGGCTTACAATAAATATTAAATGAAAGATGAATTTGTGCCACATATACAGAAGCATTTCATCAAATCCCTTCAAGTTGTTCTGAAATATATCAGCCAACAAGATAAAGTAACAAAGCACAATAACATCTTAAAAATATAATTCCAATGCAATAGGCGTTTGTCAGCATATCAAATCCTATACACTGTAGCAATTGAGCTTTAAAATTCTAGCATTAGTTAGTAAGCACTTTTTACAACAAAATAAAAAGAGAGTTTGTGCAACATATCTGGAAATACAGTAGTTTGCAAAGTCTCTTAAAATGGAGTCTCATTAAAAAA